CATACCCATAAGCAAGAATATTGATGACAGGGAAGAAAGCGTCAGCATCATGAAGTCTATTCGATCCGAACGATATAAGTCTACGCTTGATATTAGAACGATTCAAATTTATATAGGTGAAAAAGGGGAAGTAAAAATAATCATGAGTAATCGACATACCTAAGTACACAATGACAAATATTATAGCATAATGATTATTCCAATGAATCAGTCGAAATTACTCATACCTGTGTTCTCTTTCCTAGAATAGTAGGGCATATATAGTAGCTACTGTGTGTGAGTACAAGGATGAGGCTAATATGAAAACAAAAATAATTAACAATGGGATGAAATAGAAAAAAAGAAAAACAACTACATTCTAAAAAATTTAGATTTATTACCGAACTTTAAAAGTATCGTATTTTTGATCCGAATGATTTGAGTAATTACCTATTTTTTACTCAACAGCAACATGTAACTCCTGACTCTAGACATTACAGAAGTTAAAAATTAGAAAGCCACTCTCACCCCGACTATCTCCCAAGTTTTTGATTGCGAGAGTGTGGGTAGGTGTGAATGTCGGTTTGAGTGTAGGTATTTGCGTGTGGAGTGTGGGTATAAGGTTAGCCTATCCTCTTTAACCAGACCCACACCCTCACACCCGCATACTAGAATTGTATATTTCGAATAGGAATGGGATTATAGTGAAGAATTAAAAATACCTGCAGAATTCTGTTACAAGTAACAGAAGATAAACTTCGAATATGTATAGTAGTAGTGTATATCTCCAACAGGAAAGAAAAATTCTAATGAAGATTTTAAACAAGCGAGAATAGAATTCTAAAATCTAATGACACTAACACATATATACGTTATATTTGATAACATGAAATTCTACACAATGCTAAGCAGAATTTAAACAGATCACCAGGACAGAATACGTTGTCTTCGACAACATAGAATTCTAGTGTGTAATAATCAACTTGTTTTAAAAAAATACATAAGTCCACAGAATTCTGAATTCTGCTTAGTAGGCATTCTGCAACTGCTGACTTTACTAGGTTATGTATATATATATATGTTTCTTAATATGCTTGAAGGAATTGATCATGTGCCATCCATGTAACAGTCTCCATTTGAATAATTATCGAAATTATTTTTCAAAAACCAATTCTAATACTTTTGCCGTTTTGTTTATTATTTAGCAAGAACGTGACTTGAAAGCAAGTGAATTCGATGAAGTATAACTTGATAGACATATGAATGAAGTCAATAAAAACAATAATATCAAGCTTATACAGGACGTGTTATATCATATATGGAAGAAAAATGGCTGTAATACTTATTCAATGGAAAGAGTATGTCTTAAAAATTTATATAGTTTTCAATTCTTTAACATTTAATTCAGATTGTTGCAGAGTAAATTAAACGTTTCGATCATTTAAATCATGAAATAAAGAAACGATTGGGTTTTCAATGGAATATTCCCAATCAATGAAAAACATAACCTGTCCTTTTATTTTATATTCTTTATTTCTTTTTCATCAGTTTTATGCACATAGCATATACAACAAAAAACAATCAATTATTTTAATTGATTGATGGAATCATATAATTATTATCAAATCATTATATGAATCACGGTTTAGATCTAATGGCTAGTTAATAGGTAATAGTGCAGATTCTTCTGCAATCTTGAAGATAGGGCAATGTTCAAGAATTTCAGCAAATGTATAGGCAAACCCAAATCGAGCGGGACAAGATATTAAAAATGGTAAATAAGAATTTTCTTGTTTAACAATTAATTCTTCCTTAAAACGATAAGGATAAAAATCGAGTACATAACAATACCCATACATTTTTATCACAATAAATATATTGTACACTAATGCATATATGTTGATCAGTTTTTAAATTTATTCGATAGATATTTTTAATCGGTGGATATAATCATAAAATTTTTTTAAAAATCCATTGAACTGAATGACAATTTCTATAAGATTTTGAATAATAATTTAATTGTGAATGTAGTCTGCTGTATAGTTTTGGCTAACGAAGTAAGCCAAGAAATGAATCTAACGTTACTTATTTGACTGGTTTTGATAAACTAAATTTTGATTGTAATAATGGAAGTCGAAATTCGATACAATTGCCTATTGTTGAGACAAGTTTTTCATACTTGTTCTTATCATTCCAATTTGCTAATGTTTTTATAATTTTACTTTTAAATACTTTAAGTAGTGATTCATCATTGATAGTAAATGAATTTACCATAGACGAAGTATCTATAATCCATTCGTTAAGCTTATGTCGATTATAATCACTTGATTTTAGTATATTGATGTGCCTCATCACAAGTCAATATGATATTCGGTTGTTTATATTTATTTCCAATAAAATAAGTAATAAACCTTTTGATGATAATAACAAGTAATAATGTTATCATCATTTAATTCTCACAATCGGAAGAAAAGAATAAAGAGTATTTAACCAAATTGGTTGTGTTAAATAGTATAAAGAAATGCAATGAATAACTGACTGTAAATACTGGATCGTATGTGTCTCAATATTAACCCTTTACCCCCTTCTCGACACTAATCTAGCAGTGTTGCTGTTGATTCGACTACGGGAATAACTTATGTAGGTGCTCAATATGACACTAGTATAATTAAATTTGAGCGGTATTATTGTACTGTGAAGATGTAGGATGAGTCAAAAATGATCCATTCGTCATGAATGGCATAAAAATTGAATTTTTTTATGATTTGTTGCAACTATATGTTTATTTATTTGTATTAAGCTGGAAAGTTCTCTATTATGGATTATTTTTTGAAAAATGAGTCATTTTGGACACCACATATGATTAATTTGTATAATATGGCATCGGCGGTCTCGATTCTGATTCGAAGTCGTCCATCCTTATGTTATGGTCTGGTTCAAAAGGAAAATCATAACAACAACTGCGTCTTGATCTTTTACCAACAGAAAGTTTTTCAAATTGACTACGAATTGCTTTTTGAATTACTATTAGTTTTAATAAAATTTTTTAGCATCAAGGTATTGTTAATTATGAATTTATCTCTAAAAAAAAAAAGGTACTTTTTATGGCATTCACGATGAATGGATCATTCAAGTCTTGTGTGCAACAATATACATATACATTTAAATCTAATTATTAATAAACAACCTATAGTTCAGAATTAGAATAACATTACAATAATTGTTGTTATATATAATTATATTGTAAATGTTGATACTGAAAATATTATTATTATTATTATTACATAGGTTTAGTTTCGTCAGCCTGACAATATAAATTAACCTTTTAGAAATCGATTAATTGTTTTTTATTTTTTATTGATCAGATAGTTAAATATTGATTTTATATAAATTTTCATGTGTAAATTCAATTGATATTCATAAGAAAATGAATATTTTCTTATTTTGAAAAAAAAATAAATGTATGAAATATAAAATATAGATGTTTGAATTTTATTGCATAAATAAATATTTTTTTACTTTGAATAAATCAATATAAAAGTTAATTTAGAGAAAATAAATATTTTAAGCAAAGCGATGACATAAAAGAAATGAAGTGTATAGTTTATTAGAAAACTATAATCTACATCGAACGCATAAATGATCCAAATTCAGTTTTATCAATTTTTCCATCACGATTAATATCAGCATAATCAAACATAGCACCAGCCGGATCATATTGATTACTTTTTCTAGCAACATTTGGTGCACCAATACCAACATCAGGACCAACACCATATGTATGAGCTCCTGATTGATGAACACCTCCTGTATATCTTTCATAATCACCTGGATTTTGTGTAAAACCAGCAACAGCTACATCAAGACCAACTGGATATGTTATTACTTGAGTTGCATTAGACATTTGAAACTATATTATTTAAAAATTATTTTTAAGAAATTATTTAAATAAAAGAATAAAACTTACATTTTGAATATCTTGATAATTCATATTTCCAGATAATCTTTGTTCATCTCTAACTGGTCCAAGAAATTGTCGAAATTCTTTTTCATCGATTGTTCCATCACGATTTAAATCAGCACTATTGAATTGACTTTCAATTCTGTATTGTTGGGCCATTTTGTATTTGTATATAAACGCTTGATATTCAATTGACTAGTTACTGAAGAAAATTTTCACTATATAAATGGTTTACTTATGACGTCTGCATTTTCAATCAACCGAAACAAATGTCGTCATTCATGCGTATTTTATGTTTTTTTCCCATATGATCATTAAGTTATTTTTAATTAAAATTTTATAATATGCCTGATATTCATTTAGATAATATTTTTCTGCTTTTCTCTAATTCAAATAATTTGTTCTTTCTTTTTTTTTTTTTTTTACTCATTAATCATCATTCATATTTATATTTATTATCTTAAATCACCATGAACTGTATAATACATGATTATTCATTTACAAAAAAAAAACAAAATTTCTAAAAAAAGTAAGATTATAACAATATGATATTATTTTACTGACGTGTTTGAGAAATAATATAAGAAAAAGATTGTTAACACAACTTCTTTGGAAGTCAAATATTGAACTTATATGTCTTAATTAGATTGATTATATTAATAGAAAATCATCAATATGTAAAATCTGTAAAGAATGATATTCAATTATAAGAAAAAGATCTTTCTTTTTTATTTCGATATTTTGAACATAGATATTCTTTTCCTTTTTTAAAAGAATGTCCTATTTCTTCATTTATATTGCTCATATTCGATCATTATTTTTCTATTTCACATTTCGTATTACTTGCACCGTTATATTTATATATAAACTTACAAACATTCATATGTATTATATTTCAAAGTTCTAATGTGATAAATTCATGATTTTTATGTTTATAATAGAAGAACTGTATGACATCAATGCATGAGTAAATCTATAATGGTTAATGTCTTAAATAGAAATATAAGATTCTTGAATTTTCTAAATCTTGTTATTAATGTTGTTGAGAGAATTTAATTTCGTTTGTTAAGTTTCTATAATAGAGACGGGAGAGGAAAGAGCTTCAAAATCTTTGATTGATTATTTTTGTTCGAAATAAAATTCCATTTTTACACAAAATCTTATTGAATTATTGCATGTAAATATTAATTTAATTAAAATAAATATAAGAAATAAAAATGATTATTTATAATAGTTAAATGAAAGAATAATATCGGTAAAAAAAAATAATTTCATTGAAATTTTGTTTTTTTAATCTAATCAATTTAATTTATATTTATATAGAAAATTTTCTTTGTAAAATAATATATCTATATATATATTATATTCATTAATTTATCGAATTAAAACATTTATCAATAATTGTTTTATTTAATTCTCTTGATTAATTCATTTATTTAAACAATATTTTAAACTTATTGAAAAAAAATGTTATCTATCTTCTTATGACTTAATATTATAAAAATAAATTTTATTTATTAATTTTATCTATGTTTTTTTTATCGAAGAAATTTATCAATGTAACTCTTTCTTGCCCATGGTCAAAGTTCAAGGTCTAGAACTAAAGTTCGTCCAGTATGTAATCATAATAGTCTCTAAAGTGCACATGAAGAATAAAAATTACATCGATGAAATGCTAAATATAGTTAACTTGTTAACAGTGTGAATGAAAAGAATATTTCCACCCACCCACACACTTTTAACAACACGTAATCGCACGACAAACAGAAAAGAGATACTCCAGAGAAAGATACCACACTATAGCGAACATATTTTTTTGCTCTCTTTAATAGAATGATTCATTTACCTTGAATGTTTTTTCCTTTGTCTTCGTTTCTATCACACAGTAGAGGTGGTAAATACGTCATACATATATGTCATCTCTCATTTATCTTTAGTTATTTTTGAAATTTTATCTTATTTTTGATATTGTCCAAACATTTTTTTCACCCACTCCTGTTTCTTTTCAAATGTTTCTATTTTTTCCTAGCTTATTCACATATATATGAGTGATCACCATTTGAAAAATAAAGGATCTAACTCAATGTTGATCTGTTAGATCAATCACACGTTAATACTTTCTTATGGCATGATTCTAGCACATGTCGTAACATAGTATATATATATATATTTGTCTGAGTAGCAAATAAAGATTTTATAGAGAATATTACGATCGAAGTATTTTTTTTTATAAAATCTGCAATAGATGTATCTCAATTTGATATCAAAATTAGTTCCTGTATGCCTTACAACTCAAGAGAACGAAACTTTAAGAAGTGGCAGCAGCTATAGGTACAATTGGGAAAGAAAAGGTTAATATAATAATTAGACTTAATATTAGTTGAAATTCTTGAATTAACAAATCGATTCAATAAGAGAGTTCGAACGATGAAAAACTTCTCCAATTTATTTATAGAATTCAAATAAAATACGAAAATCTTTTATTTAATTATTAATATTTCATAAACACTAATATTAACAATCAAATAAAAATTCTTTGAAAAAATGTTCATCTACTACATTACAATAAATCATTTAGAACAATATATATGTGACTATTTTTGCTTAATAACTACATCCAGACAGTGTATGATTTACATTTATCATAAATTTGTAAACGAAATAAGACGAGAAAAAAGAGAAACATTAGCATGATAAAGGACGTGGGCGGATAAGGCCTTTTTTCGGCCCCCTTCAGAATTCATTCATTTGTATCAGGCTTTAATAAGCATTCGATCCTGATCATATTTTTCAACTTTATTCCCTAAAAAATGACATTCATGGTTTTGATCCCTGGGGTCCCCCCCAGATATCGCGAAAAAAAAATTTTGTTTTTCTTGATTCAAAA